CCATTTATTAACAGGTTTGGGTACATCAAAACTCACTTAAAAGATCAAAAGGTTACAGATGTTGTTCCTTTTCTTTCCAAATTTGTTTTGAAGATCCATATGTTTGGTTTATCTCACAATATTTTTCTATCAGTTCCTGGTATGAATCAAGTCTTCCTATATCATCTCCCTTCAAATTGGTTATTTTAATTGAGTATAACATTGGAAAGAATAAAAACAAAATGTTTTTTTCAATAATTCTTGATGTGTCTTCAATAAATTACTTCCTGTTTTTTACAAGGGACAAGGAGATATGCAATTATTATTATTATTATTATTATTATTATTATTATTATTATTATTTATTCATTTTATGCCACTTTTTCCCCATAAGTGGGATTCAAATATGCTGTATTCTGAGCAAAGTCAGATGTTTAATTAAGGAATGACATCTTCACAACAATAACACTATAGTATATACAATAGTACAGCTGCAATCCCAATTGCAATAGTTCAGGTTTCACTACTTGCATTCAGTTTATTTTTTAAAACAAAACAATCTTTATTATTTTATTTGCCTGTGCTGAACTATTTCCTTATTCTACATTAACTACTTAAGTAGAAGATGCATTCTCACCCAATATGAATGGCTTACATATTTATTGATGGTAATTGAATTATTTCTGATTTTTAGATTTTCTGTTCAAATGCTTTTTCTCAGTTAGCACAAACATTTGGATGATGAGAAATTCTGAGAAATAGAAACCCTTTTCTAAATTGGTCTGAAGTGACATGATAAATAAGGGTTGCCAAGTGGATTGAAGTGGTAAGTATGTCCAATTTACAGAGGATTACACCTTTAATTATATTTATTTTGCTCACAGCATAATGTAGTAGATAAATGAGATCTCAGCTATCCAGTCCAAATGAAAATGTCTTTTTCAATCTCCAAAGGCACTCTACAATTACAGGTTTTACCATGGATGAAATGTAAACATGGTAGCTGTCTTCCCTTGAGTCATTTGCCGGGGCACCTCGGGTCTTCATGTGCCACCCTTTTCATGAGGAATGCCAAAGAGGAAAAACACAAACCTCACCCAGAAATAAAAAAAAAGTACCTATAACAACTCTTTCTGGCCTGGTGACTATTCTCATTTCATTGGTGCGGTCAAGAGAGACAGGTTTGCAAAAAGAATGAATTATGTCACTTTCATTAATACTGGGACCAGAGGGAATGGCACAAACGGGGGGGGGGGGGGGGGGAACAAAACAAAGCTTGCTGAACCTCTGACATTTTCTAAACAATGTATACAGTCAAGCAAATGCATTCAGATAGGGTATAAGGATAATTAAGGAATATTCCTTCAAGGAGGCTGTGTCCATTTAAGCAGCGAGCTTTCATTTGTAAAGAATTATCTTTAGCAGGGAAGTTATTATTAGTGTTGTTGACATTTACTGTATGATGTCAACTTGCCTGGAGATCTAATTTGCTTAATGTTATTTACTTTATACTTCTAAAGGCTGACTGAACAAACTGACAAGGTTCTGGGAATTAAAGATACAATCGTTTTTACAATAATGGTGATTTGTGTGTAAACTACATTTGGTGTTTAATGTGACGTTCCTGTCTTCCAGATAGTGAAGGCAAATTCATATTAATCTTACTCTTAAATTACCATAACTAGGAAAAATTATACAAGGGATCACTCATTATTAGGACTCACCACTGAAAACCTGTATCTAGCTATATATAATTAAAACATATTGTTTCGATAAGCTTCTATCACTGGATGCACCTTTTGAGCGTGATCGTAAAATTGTTCAAAAAAAGGGGGGGGGGAATCCTTGAATTCAGTGGTATTTGCTTCCTTAATTTCCATCTAAACCTATTTAATTCAGGATGTCCCTATTTACTCAAGGGGTACTCCACTGTGATCTCACGAGTAAGATGTTGTATTTCAGTGTGGAAACACATTTTTTCTCACTAAGGGACATGAATGGTAAGAGAAAATTAGATCCACAAAGTAAAGCAATTGATAAGATGACATTTAGAATAATAAACTTGAAAGAGACCATCAGGGCTATCTAGTTCCAACTGCCCGACACACAGAAATACACAATCAACACACTCCATCCAGCCTCCAACCTTAAAAGAAGACATCTCCATCACTCTCTAAGGCTCCTTCTACACTGCCATATAATCCAGAATATCAAAGCATAAAATCCAGATGATCTGCTTTGAACTGGATTATATCTGTCTGCACTGCCATATAATCCAGTTCAAAGCAGATCATCTGGATTTTATATGGCAGTGTAGAAAGGGCTTAAGATGGGTTGTTCAACACCAAGATGTTCTTCCTAATTTTTAGGTGAGATCTCTTTTTCTGAAGTTTGAATCCAGATAATTTTATTTAAAAAGACGATCAAAATACTAGAAAATTGCATGAAACTAGAGAACTATGTAGGTTTTTCATTACAATTTAGCCCTTGTGCAGTTCAGCCGTTTGGTGTAATAAACCAGCACCATCAACTTCTTTCACAAGGTTATAATATTCAGGCACTACCCTATAACTTGCAGTCACAATATAGGGAAGCAATTCCCATTTTTAAAAAAACCCCTCTGATAGATTGTAGTGGAGAATGGTATAATAGTAGAATGGCCTTTCTAGTTCTAATTCAAACATAGCACAATAAAGATTTATATGTGGTTATGTACAAGGAAAGGAAACTACTAAAAAAAAGTTTTGATATATTCCTTGAGCCAGGGATAATTTAGAACTCATAAATGCATTCATAAAATAATTTACCCAGTATACAGTACTAAAAAAATCCATAAGATTCTGGTATAGGATAATTGCTTAGTTTTAGAACTGTGCTTCAAAGTGCTAAATACGTGATTTCTAAGCATTACTTCTGTTTCCTCATTAGAGGTTCCTTTCATTTCTCCACCTTTTCTTCATCATCAGCCATCTTTTGCCCCTAATTGATTCATTTGGCATACTAGTACAAGCCCACTATCAGAGAGAGAGAGAGAGCATCTATTTGAACCATTAAACTTCTGGACTATCATAGGTAATTCTTAGTAAAAATGTGAAGCAAAATGAAAAATGTGCATGCCATTATGCGACAGGGAAAGAGGGAAGTGAAAGGGGAAGATAAACGTAGTAGTAGTAGTAGTAGTAGTAATCTAGTAGATGTCTTTATGAGTTCGATGATGCAAAGTAAAAAAAAATTAGCAAGTTGTTTTGATATATTCTTAAATTTGCTCCATAATCCTGTTGCATTTATTCAGAAATTATTCCATACGGCTTACTTCCAGGATATAGGATTATGCCCACAATTATATATGATAATTAAAATTAGATGGTATATAGACAAAAAATTAAAAGGATTTCCTACAACCTTTTTTTAAAATGTTCATTCTTCTATATCTGCACAAATTGTTTCTTTGTAATTAAAAAATACATCACCATCAAACTGATTATTATAGCCAAAGCCATTTTACTATTCTGAATTTTTTTCCACGGCAAGAATATATTCCTTTCATTATGTCCTTTGATACAAGGCTATTTTAACTATCAATATAAATGATCTGGCTGGCACCTGTGGTTAATATTAAACCTAAAATGAATGGCCTACCTTAAAATACTATCCTGCCATATATACATAAATTATACGCACAGAAGTTATCTTCAGTATTTTCAGTGTACTCTAGATAACTCAAGCATAACAGTAAGAATAAAACTGCACATTTAAAAATAGTCGTTGTTGAACACGTTTCGGTGTCAATTCGTTATACTGGATGTGCAGCTTAATTTGTGGAGTTTGCCACATGGCATGGAAATATAGAAAATGCAGGGGTTTTTTTAAATACTGCAGATTTCACTATCACGAATGTATTTGAACTAAACATCTATAAAAACCAATAAAATGAGAACACAAATATAGATAGAAGTACAGAGAGATAATCCGAAGCCTCTAACTCTGTTTTAAGTTCATTTCCAAAGTTCAGAAACTCATCCAATTATGGTACAATTGCAAACTTGAAAGAATGACTGCAGCTCCTTCTACACTGCCATATCAAATCCAGATAATCTGATTTGAACTGGATGATATGGCAGTGTAGAAGGCGGCTACTAGTAAAAAAAAACATATTTTTCTTAGGAAATGAGCTATAAAGTGAAACAGGTCACTTGTGTACTTCATATTCAAAATCAACCCAATGTGAGAATCCTAGAGACAATATGCAGATAATAAGATCCCTGAAATGTGGTGACAAACAGGGAACAGCAGCAATGAACTCTGAAGAACAGTCTTGGAAGTGACCAGTAGGTATGTTAGGAATTTGGAAAGGGCTTCACAATTCCTACAACCAGAAAACAATTGATGCATTTGACAATAATCAATACCAATATTGTTTTCAACACCACAATGCCATTATTTCATTGTTTATCCACAAATATTACTTGAAATGAACACACTCGAGCTATTCAGTATAAACTGAATGGCACAAGGAAAAAGGAGTTGCTTGAGACAGAATTAAAATATATTCAAAAGTGGGAGCCCCATAACAGAATTACCATATGTGTGGGAAAAACAACCCTGACTGTTTGAAAATTTTCCCCATACCATAGTAAACTTGTGATATTTGGGCTCTGCAGTAAGATAGCAACTTTTGTAAAGAAAGAGAGCAGATATTATTTCATCCGAAGGGCTGAAAGGGTTTTGAAAGCACACATACAAAGACATCTTGAAACAAATGATGTCTGGCAAATCAGTGGCTGCAGTCCTGAACACAGGTAAGGAGTGTTTATAGTTATTGCCTTCAATGCAGTTTTTGCTGCTGGTGTACAGAATTATTTTACTGAATCTTTCCCGACAGCCTTTGATCAAAAATGTCATGTCTTAGTCTAATAATTACTTGTGGAACTACATGTTGCATCATTTGAATAAAGGGACAGAGGAAACAGAAGCACTCCTTTAAAGTGAAGCGAACAGCACGCCAAGTTGAAAGCCCTTACCTCATTTAGCTTCTGGGTCTGTTGGGAAAATCCTTGAGCTGCAACAGTGAAACGACTGATCAGGCTATGTCAAATGTTAGGTAAACATAGGTGGCAGACTATCACTTCAAAAACCTCGGAGCAGTGGAGATAAATGGATATGATATTAATTTTCAAACATTTTTTTAAAAAATGTTTAGCTGGCCAATTGTGGAATTCCTTAGGTCACTTCCTGTTTTTCTGATTGGAGCTTCTAAAATTAAACTTTAAAAAAACTCCGTAAGGATTACAAACATTTGCATACAGCCAGCCAACTCACACCTTCACGTACAAACAAAACAAGTCTAACCAGGTTACACTCATGTCCCAAGAACAAAAGAAAAAGAGCCCTGTAAATGGATAAGGGATTGGTTTTCTGTGCATGTTTTTTTAAGACCACCCCAGTCTCCTCCCCATCTTAAAGACAGGTTATTTCAGGTAGCTCACAAAAATTAGAAGCAGACTCCAAAAACATGCCCATTGTTTTATATGGCTAAAATCAGCTGGGGCAACAACAGCAGAGGAGTAAAACTGAACTTTGTGGAATGGATGTGCACTGGCAGCAAGTTCAACCTAAAACTCTTGTGCCAATGGATTATCTTTCCTCTCCACTGGTACTCATTTACCTTTGTTGAACTAAGACTGCACAGAATTGGCCACATTTCCAAGTATTATTTCTGTGTAAATACCTATGGTACCTACTGAAGAAGAAAAACTTGGCACAAACCAAAAAAGGCATACCTACTAAAGGAGTGACCATGGATGTAGCAATCAATGCTCAAGGGGGTAGCCAGAATGTTGGTGCTCAGATTGCTCTGAGACAAACAGCTTGCCATTGTTGCTTTTAAAAGTATACAATATACAATTCTAACCCCTATATGAAAACCACACAGATATGCTTCCTCAAGGAGCTGAACACAAATGGTGGTCTGCAAGGTGCATTTGGCACTTGTTATTCTTTTATCACCATAAAGGAGAACAAGAGAGAACTTGTAGTGAATTGGTGGGGCAGCAGGGCAATCCCAGCTCCCTACCCCCTGCTTCACCCACAGCGCTTCCCCATCACACATGGGGGATTGCTCCTGTGCGTTTTCTCCCCACACTGTCCCTGTTGTTCTTTATGGAACACGGGAAACCTCCCATATTGCACTACAGTTGTTGAATGGAGCCCTGCCAGAATTGATCGTGCACTGTGTGATGGGCGGCATGGGGCTCCATACAACAGCTGTGCTGCAAGCATCCCACAACACCTGCAGCCCACTGTATGATGAAGTCATTAGTGTCATACCAAGGTTCATGAGCTTAAATAGAGATGGAAGGATCTGTGATCAAACTTGTCAGACCCTCAGGATAAACCAGAAGAGTGTCAGAGATGTTCAGAATATTTTTACAATGGCTGGCAGTGGACACAGCAACCTGTATGAGGTCCACCCAAGAAAAATATTGGCAGGGTGGGGCTTTGAGCTTTGACTGTTTCAAATTCTTTTTTTAAAAAACATACGACTAGAAAGTCAGGCTAACCTCTGGGGGAAGGATGCTCCAGATCTTGGTGGCAGCTATTTACATGTGTTACTACCCTAACACTGGTCAGAGGAACTTCCATTCTGATTCTGCATTCTTAATTAAATTGTATTTGTCCATTTGTTTCAACCAAGTGTCCAAACCTGAAAAGTGGGTATCCGTTTGGGCATGCAACTGGTGCTTAAAATGTCATGATCAGTATGCCTCTTCTTCTAGATTTACAGTGGGCCCTTGGTATCTCTTCTGGGATTTGGTTCCATGACTGCATAGATACCAAAATTTGTGGATGCTGAAGTCCCATTCCATATAACAGTATAGTAAAATGACACCACTTATATAAAATGGCAAAATCAAGGTTTCCTTTTGGGGATTAAAAATATATTTTCAAGCCTAGAATACTGGCATCTGTGCATGCAGAATCCATGGATATAGATGGAAAACTGCATTTACTTATCTATTCTAATATTTAGCCCTTCTTTTGGCTCAAGTCGACTAGTCTCACTCCTCCTTCCCTCCTGTCCTCTCTTTTTTCTCGATCTCCTGCCATTCTAGGAATTTAACACTTAAAAAAGGAAAAGTATGATGTGATCTTAAAAAAATATTACCAGGGTCCACATTTGAGTTTTAGCACTTGTGAGTATGCCACTGAAACAAGCTTGATTTCTAGAAGTAGGTCTTCAACTACATACTTTACACAGTAATAACATTCTGAGTCATCATTTGCAGTAAGAATGAAACATCAAGTTATCAGGCACTGTATTAGTATCCAGCAGGTTCACCATAGTGCTGCCATAGGTCACAAATGACTTGAAGGCATTCAGCAACAACTTTATATGGAAGTATTGTTATTGTGAGCAAAAGAACAGGGGAATGTTTAGGATGTTACCCATAAAAATGTGCTATATAAAAAAAAGTTTAAAAAAAGAATGATACAAAGACAATCCGGGATAAATTCTTGTTTAGTATGTGGGTACTTATACTGTGGAGTATTTCCTCACTCCAGTGAACTAAAATGTCTCTACAACATAACGAGTATTTATTTTATTTTTCAAATAGAGCCAAACTAAGCTTTATTCGGGCATTACTTAGCCAGTTTGATTTAATCCACCAGCTTCCCTTTGGAGATCAATATCCTTATGTGAATGACAACTCTGAAGAGGAGAGGTTCTTATTCACACAGACTTGTCTACAAAAAAATCCAATCCCTTTGACACTGTATTTTCCTTATCTATGTTAACCTTGCAGTTACCCTATTAATGTCATCTCACACACACTGAGATCATCATAAGTGACCATACATTTCTCCATGCTGAACTCACCTCTCTGTTAAGGAGTAGTCCATATTTCCAGTCCTTCCCATTATTTACAGACACATCTGTGGATGCTCCACCTTTTTATTTGACTTTTTTCTGTCATGCATGTGAATAAACATATTTTATGTTCAGAGGAGATGCACTGATACTGATATTTAAGTATCCGTACACATGAGTCTTCTTTAATAAAAAAAACCCAATAGAAGAAATAACCACTTCTTGGTGGAAATGCACACTTTCCAACAATTAGTTCTACACACCACAACTCTCTCTGCCCCCAATTACGTAGTGAAGTGACATCATCTGGAGAGCTGGTCATAGGCCAAAAAGTTTCAGATTTGCTGTAAAATGTGGGGATAAAAAGCCATTTTTAAAAAATGGATTAAAGCCCAAATGAATACATGACAAACGCATTGTCATGGATGTTATGTATCAGGGTCAGATCATCTAAAAGATGAATACAATTTTTAAAGGTACTTAGCAAAAGAAAATTTAAATGCATTGGTGACACCTAGATTGAAAATATTACATGTGAAAGGGATTTAGGAATCTTAGTAGAACATAAATCAATAGTTTGACATGGCAGCTAAAAAGCTAATGTGATGCTAGGCTGCATCAATAGGAGTACTGTAGACTGATGGAAGTGATAGTGCCACTCTATTCTCTTTTGGTCAGACTTCCTCTGGAATATTGTGTCCAGTTCTGAGCACCACAGTTCAAGAGGAGCATTGACAAGATAGAAAGTGTGAAGAGATGGGCAACCAAAATAATCCAAGATTTGGAAACCAAACCCTATGAGGAACACCTTAGGGAGCTGGATATGTTTAGCTTGGAGAAGAGAGGACTGAGAAGGAAGATTATAGCCATGTTTAAATATTTGAAAAGATATTGTATTGAGGAGGGGGCAAGCTTTTATTCTGCTGCGCTGGAGACTAGGACATGGAGCCATGGATTCAAGTTGCAGGAAAAGAGATTTCACCACAACAATAGGAAGAATCTCCTGACAGTTAGAGCTGCTTGACAGTGGAATATGCTGCCCCAAAGTGTGATGGAGTCTCCTCTGGAGATTTTAAACAAGTGCTAGATGGCCATCTGTCAAGGATGCTTTAATTGTGTTTTCTTGCATGGCAAGGGGTTGAACTGGATGGCCCTTGTGGTCTCTTCCAACATTATGATGCTTTGAATTCCTAGTACTCAGAAGTAAACTCTCTCTGTTTTGGACCTGCTTTGGTGAATAATTACCTTAACCCATACTGGAAAAAGAATAGAAAAAGATAGCCAAATTATTCTTGTTTGAAGTGCTCAAAAAAGTACAGAATGAAATAAAGCTGGCCAAATATAACAGGACTTCCCCGTCCCTGCGCAGCTGGGGCGGGTAAGGAAATTTGCCTCCCTCCCCTGAGAGAGAGGCTTGAAAGTAGATCCGGCTGGATCTACTTTCCGGGGGGTGGGTGGAGCTAAATAACTGCTTCCACCCCCTCTGTCTTCATTCTAGAAGAAGACTTCAACCCATCCTCCTGCCACTAACAGTATAATTTAGGTCACCAATAGGGGCTGGGTAGGAATCCCCCCCCCCATGTTCAAGGGTTTTTTTTCACCTACCCTATACTGTTAAAAGGCAAATTGGGATTGTGGGCTGTTAAATAGGCTTTGGCGGAGTTGAAAAAGTAAATAAATTTGGCGTACACCAAGACAACCTTTGTTTAGGTCATAAACAGAAACCCTCACGTGTGGTTTTTATAGCCTGGTGGGGGCGTATGCAAATGGCCTAAAACGGGATATTCTGACCCCAAATTCCTTAGGGCAGAATGGTTGTTATGTTGCAGGGAAAGATCATCCAGGAATATTACACCTGGGGAACCTGGTGTTTCGCCCAATTGCAGCCGAGGGGCAGGACAGGTAAGGAACACTACCTCAGCTTTATTCCTCACCGAATTCTCAGGTCATCTTAGGTTTAGTTGACAACTTTACAGGTTTAATTAGGTAACATTTAATAAAGTTGCCCTAGTTTACTCCATACTGTTGTGTGTGTCTCTTATTTTGGGGGTTGACTGGCAACAGAACTCATCCCAGCCAACTATCTGCTAGAGGTGTTTGAGAAGTTTCTTCCTATGCAATTTGATGTGATTTACAATGAAATATGACATGAACTCATATGCAGGTCAGATCAGGCTAGCAATTTCCCTAGCTTTCACATTTCTTCTGAATGCCGCACTTGGCAGTTTCAACATGTCAAAACATATGTATTTTGAGAGAAAACATGCATTTTGAAATTAACCACTTTATATGAAAATAGAATGGGAGTGGAACAAATATAGAAGCGCAATAAACTAACAGAGAGAAGA